CTGTTCTGTTTACAACTAGACTGCCGACCAGCAAGTGGCATTGCCCAACGAAGAATGTGTGCTTGGAAAAACATAATCAGACCTAAAGAAATGCACGCAAAAACAATATAAAAGTCGCATCAGTTTTATTGGTAATAATTAAATTTACTGAGCAGTACAGCAAAACAACAGGTACTGTACGTATTATTAAATAATGTGTTGAATTTGCGTAGCCTAGGCAGTCAAAAGAATCCAGGGCTTTGATAAATTAATTAAATAGCTAGGCCCTGACTACAACAATCTTGTTCGAAATGGGTTCAGTACAAGTTTTACAAACTAAACTGGACGAAAAAGTGAACATTGGAGCCGGTCCGGAGGGGTGTCTGTATTGTGAGAGTAGACTGCAACTTACGACATACGATCATGTGAGAGCCAAGTTCCATAGCTCGCTGTCTGAGATGTTAGTTTGGCTTGACTTGTTGCCGTACAACAAGGATCGAACTTCGTATTTTCCCACGGCTGTGTAATTTTTCCACGTGCGCTACTAAATTTGGAACTTCGACTTGTGTGGTTGAAATTACTTTAAAATCGGCCTATCTGGACAGGAAAATTCCGTCGATATAGCCGAAATTCGACTTATAAAAATTTGAATTAAACAAACAATTTACACAGTAATACATAGGAAAGAATTGGGACTTTTTCAAAAATTCGACTGACGCGAGTTTTCGACTTAAACAGAGTCGACTTTGGCGGACTCGACTTTATATCATTTTCTCTACACAATCAAGATTTTAAAGCGACAAAATCCTATGGACTGCCCATGTAAAGGTGTGATATGACATCATCATGCTGATATGATAATAATAATATAATAATATTTTAGCATTTATATTGCGCTCTTTACTGGAGTCTCACAGTTGCAACTCATGCACATATATGGGTAAGATATGACATCAAAATAATAATGGTTGACTTATGCCCCGATAATTGGATTAAAAAACGTATGGAATATAAACTCGGCCCCCTGGGGGTGTATTCCAGACGTTTATATTAAAAAGATAAAAACAATACCCTTTTTGACTTGTGATAATGATTATGTTTTTGATTTGTTTTTTAGATGTTAATGAATGTTCAAGCACACCTTGTTTGAATGGTGCCACTTGTCTCAACCTCATCAACTCCTATCAGTGTCAGTGTGCACCTGGGTGGACTGGTCCAGCCTGTGAAATAGGTGAGTCAACTCGTTAACCTCTTGTTTAAACAAATTATAATCAATCACAAATAAATGATATTTGTGTTGTATGAATTTTTCTGATTTTTAATGAATTTGTGTTCTGAACCTTTTTCTTGTGCCATTTTCTTTTGGCCTGTCACATAATTTCTTTTCCAGTTTTTCCGAGAAGGTACATTCATCTACTCTGCTCTGTCCTGGCTACATGTCTTGCCCTTCTATATCTTGACAGCCTTTTAAAGTCCATAGCTGCCAATGAGAAATTTTTGCTGCCTTAAAAGTTCACACTCATCTCATTTCCACCATAGTTGGTGCTGATGGTAGTAGTCATGGTAGTAATTTGGCATATTTCAAGATTTTGAAAGATTGTGTGAAGGTAAACATTGTATGTTTTTATTTTTGCAGAATTGAATGAATGTTCAAGTAATCCATGCCAAAATCGTGCTGTGTGCATTGACTTACTGAGCCTGTACCAGTGCACTTGTCTACCAGGATGGATGGGAACTCAGTGTCAAACAGGTAATGTGCTTAACCTAAGTGAATATACTTAATCTGTAGATACAGAGATCAACCTTAAGCTAGATGAAAGGGACTGGCCACTTCGGTTACTCACTGGCATTTAAACACATTTTGGTATTTTTTGTGCTAAACTTTGTGTACCCTCCAGTTGGAGACCCTTTTTATTCCAAGAACCCGTAATTCCAGACCACTTTTTCAAAGAACCAAATAATCTTCAATCTATTAACACTAAGCTAACACTTAAATGGAGACCCAACCAAAATTTTCAGGTCCCAAAGGAAGTCTTGAACTGTATATGCTATTATTTATTCTCATTTTTATAGTGTTGAAATTTTTGTTAGCAGATATATTTATAAAATCTTTTGCATCATGACACTATGATTAACCTCTATGATTACAAGAATAAAAACAATTAAGACATAATATCTTGCTTGATCTGTTAATGGTTCTTTTTTTTTATAGATTTCGACGAGTGTTCCAGCAACCCATGTGTCAATGGAGGCACTTGCAATAATGCGCAAAACTTCTACACTTGTGATTGTGTACCAGGCTGGATAGGCTTCAATTGTGAAACAGGTAAATAATTATTAAAATATTTATTTCCCTTCTTCCTTCTGTAGCGCCTGGAGTACTACTGCAGTGGAATTGTGCGCTCTGTTATTATTATTATTATTGATTAGTATTTTTGTTATTATTTTGTTATTGATGTAGAACTATAGGTGCCAACAACAATTAACAACTTTTTTCCAAGTGTAAAAGTATTTTTCTTATCTCCCCTTGCCACCATCCACTCTGAAATTGTACATAAATGATTGTTAATTTTACAGTGCCATTCACTATTTTTGTTGTTTCATAAGGAGTATATCAGAATAACTGAATTGTGGCTAGCTATATTCTTTAGCAGATCTGTTCTTGAAAGTAAACTGTTTGTACACTCATGAAAGTATTGGTACTCTAATTGTTAATGATCCCCTACTTTTACGTTTAATAAACAGAGGTAAAACTTAATATAAATTAATAAATACTGGTATAAATATTTTCATGCTGATTAATTTTGTTTGAATTTGATTGATAGATGCTGACGAGTGTTCTAGCTCACCTTGCCAATATGGAGCAGCGTGTTCCAATCAGCAGAACCGTTATGATTGTTTGTGTGAAGCTGGATACACCGGCATTAACTGTGAAATAGGTATGTGCAGCAGGCCCGTAGGCAGGGGGTTCAGAGGGTGTGGATGCACCACACCCCCCCCCCCCCAAATTCAAAATGTCCACTTTTTTAAACCTTTTATTTCACTAAATCGTTCCTAATTATCAAAAAATGCTATAGCATGCATTGCATTATATAAATGTTGTTTGTAGGCCCAAAGATGTACAGGACATCTAACGTTACTTCTTCAGGTGCAAAAAACACCCACATTCATGAAAATTTAAATAAAATATGTGTTTGAGAAATCCAATATATAGGACTTCAAAATGCTACTTTGTCAGATCCTCCTGGGGCCTCTGCCCCTGGACCCCCAAATTTCAAAAAGTCTAATTTTTAAAACCTATTATGTCAATAAAATCTTTCCTATCTATCATCATATGCTATAGTATGCATTACGTTTTATTTGCCCGCTCTTATAACAATTTATTTTTGATAATGTGCTACGAAATCTGTTGGAAATTATCAGCTCTAGTGATTGATCCATGTTATCTGTATGCCTACAGATATAAAGGACATAAAAACTTACAACTTTATAGTGGTGGATTCAAGGGTGCCTCCCTCCCCCCCCCCTCATAATTATAAAAGAAATGGAAAAAAAAGAAAAATTATAATTAAATTTATGTCTGAGAGTGCCATTTCCGGCCATCAAGAGGTGCCATAATCATAAATTTCCTTTCCTCAGCCTCAACCATGGCAGGGCTGAGGTGGTATAGTCCATCCATCTGTGGAAATTCCTCCCTTCCCCCTTCCCCTCTATTTCGAATTCCGATATACCACTGCTTTAGATTGCTAAACAATACCCAGATGAATGCAAATTCGATAGAATATTACGAATTGTGGGTTTCAGAAATCCATTATACGGTCACAAAATGCTAATTTGTCTGAGCTTCTTGGGATATATCTCCCCATTGAAAATCCTGCCTACAGTGGATATAAGGGGGAGGGGGAAGAAAGGGTCCAGGAGGCACAGACCTCCAAAATTTGTCAAATTGAGAAAAGGAAAATTATATTCAAATTTAAGTCTAAGAGTGCAATTTCTGGCCATCTAGAGGTGCCATAATTATAAGTTTTCTTATTTGGTATATACTCTCTATTTGGTATAAACTCTCTATTTGTGAAGTCCCTGTTTGTACAACCTCCTTACCCTCCTTTAAAGAGACAGAGCCCAGTGCATGTTTCTTTTTTTGACTAAGGAATCTATTTTTAATGAATAGTCTATTAATAAAGGTTAATAATTGTTTTGTATTTCAGACATAAATGAGTGCTCAGCACAACCTTGCTTAAATGGTGGAACATGTACAAATAACCTAAACTTCTACACTTGTAACTGTTTACTCGGTTGGACAGGTACAAACTGTGAAATTGGTAAGTACTACCATCACCATGCCCATATATGGGTGTGATATGACATCATCAAATTTGTGTGATGTGACATCAAATGTGTGTGATATGACATTATCAAATTGGTGTGCTATGACATCATCAAATGAGTGTAATTTGACATCATAAAATTTGAGTGATGTGACATCATCAAGTTTGTGTGATATGACATTATCAAATTGGTGTGCTATGACATCATTAAATGAGTGTGATATGACATCATCAAATTGGTGTGCTATAATATTTTCAAGGGTGTGATATGACATCATTATTATTATCATTCTTATTATCATCATTATTATCAGATTGGTGTGATATGACATCATCCAATTGGTGTAATATGACATATTCAAATGGGTGTGATTTGACATCATCAAATTGGTGTGCTATAACATCATCAAGGGTGTGATATGACGTCATCAGATTTTTGTGATATGACGTCATCAGATTGGTGTGATATGACATCATCCAATTGGTGTAATATGACATATTCAAATGGGTGTGATATGACATCAAATATCTTCATGCCAATATGTGCACATCACATTATTCTCACATAAAACCTGAAAGTAGACAGAGGTTTAGAAATGTTTTACAGCTGGAATAGGGTTATGTTTCAATCTACCTAATGATACCATACCTCCTATCATTGTAATTTTCATAAGTAGTATTAATTAAAAATAAAATAATAATAAAAAATTATAAAAGCTAGGAAATAAGTCAGTTTTAAATTCAAATTGCAGTCCAATTGAATTTGAAATAATGAGTATTAGAATAAGAGCAAACATATTTGACAAATCATGTATTGTCGTTGTCGAAAGTGTGAATTTTTTTTCCCAAAATATTTATAATTTGTTGAATGAGTGCGGCAGTTCACCATATCAGAATGGTGGCGCTTGCAGTGACCTAGTCAACCCGTATGTTTGCACCTGTGTATCAGGCTGGCAAGGAGAGAGGTGCAGTGAAGTTTCGAAACATGTTTATTAGTAATTACCTAATGCATTTATATGTAATATAACTTTCTGGTATACACACTTTAATTATTTTAAATTGAACATATTTATGCAGTATAAAATATCAGGAAGACAACAAAAACAACCTGTTTTAGACATGGTCTTATTTTGTGAAACAAAATTATATCATCAATCAGCAAATCGCATTTTAATGAAATTGTAAAGTGATTTAATTACATATATGATCTAAAGCTTAATCTAAAATGCAGAATATATTGATTTCATTTTAAAAAATCATAAATTTTACAGATACTCAGCCAATGCGTTTACAACATGGTACAATATATATATATATATAAATATGTAAATAAATATATAAATATATAGAGACTATTTCGTGAATACTTACCGGGATAACCGACTAAAATTGCCATTGTTCCAAACGGAACAGTCTTACCCAGGGCGCCACGTACGAACTGTCTCCCTAACAAATGTCCTCATTCCCTTTTCGACCTTCGTAGGAAAGTGAACCTCCTTCGGAGTGCTCTATCATAGAGTTGTTAGCGTGTTCGCGATACTGCGATAAAAATTCTCAGCCTTGGATTTTATTTTCAAGAAGTTGCTGGATTCTGGAATTTTATTTTTCTGCCTTGGATTTTGTTCAAGAAGTTGATTCTACGACTTATCCTTTTTTGTAGCTCGAAGTGCCCTTTGTGGCGTTCATGTAGCCAAGTGGAACCTTGCGAGGTTTGCGTGCGCTGGCCCCCTACTAAGTTTGCGGCGGCTTTTGATTGGGCAGCTCAGACTGCCATTCATTCTCAGAGTTCGTTGCCGGCTGCGTCGGGGGTTGTTGCAGCGTCGGACGATTCTCTCCCGCCGTTGGAGGGTCCGTCGGCCTCGTCAGGTCCCTCGCCTTTTGCTCCGCTTGACCCACCCTTAGTTTCCTTGTTTTCAGAGCAGGTGGGATGTGTTGCTAGGGAGGTTTTTGCCGGGATGAAGGTCGTTTCGGCTGTGCCTGTCCCGTCCATTCCCCCGGTCTCCGACCCTCCTGTCCCTGGGGAAGGGGTCCGGGTGGGTGAAGAGTCGCCTACGGACGATTCGTCCATTCGCCCATTCCTCGCGATGCCAAGGGCAGATTGCGAGAAGACCAGAAGCTCTTCAGCTTCTAAGGCTTTGTTACACACAGGGCGCAGCCGAGGAGGCTTTGTCCTTTGTGGACCGTGCGGCACAGGAGGGCATTCGCGCCGTGAATGGGGCTGGCTTTACTCTGTCCTTTTTGTCTGATGCTGACGCGAATCCAACTCTGGTTCCTGACGCCATTGCTCTCCTGCAGGAGGGTGTTGGCCTTACTTCTGACCAATTCTGTGCCATTGCCCAGGCTGCCGGGGCCGCCCGGAGGGCTAATGTTCTCTGGGCTACCTCTGTCAGTCCTGGCCACTTTGACTGGTTTTTTGGACTGCCCCTCTTTTGGGGCAGAGGGCCCCTTCTTTGGCCAGTTTGCTGCCAAGGAAGAGGCCTGGACGAGAGAGTTAAAAGCGCAGCGTCAGACAAGGGCTAAGTTCCTGCGGCATGATCGTCAGTCGGCTCGATCCCAGCGCTGGGCGTACGCAAGACGCCAGCCTCAGCAGCAGCCTCAGTCGCATCCCATCCCTTTGCCGCAGCCTGCAGCCGCTGTCCCCCTGCTCCTGCTCCCGCCACCAATCCGCAATTCGCCCGGGCTTGCCCTCCAGCCGACAGGGCACGGTGGTGGCAGGGGAGGGGTGGGCCCCGTTCCTGATATTCATGGTGGGGGGACCGGTTCCTCAGTAGGAGCCGGTCCGGTAGGGGGGAGGCTGATGTTTTTTGCCCACGAATGGGAACGGCTGGCTCCAGACAGCTGGACCCTGCAGACAATTTCCCGTGGATACCAGATAGAGTTTACTTCCCCTCCGGTTGCGTACGAAGGGATGAGCACGCCCATTCCAGCCTCCCCCTAGAAGAGGGAAGCCCTGTTTTCAGGGTAAAAGACCTTCTTATGAAGGGTGCCGTGGTCGAAGTTTTCCCGACTACCGACGACAAGGGGTTCGTTTCCACACTCTTCCTGACAGAGAAATCATCAGGCGGATGGCGCCCTATCCTAAATCTGCGGCGACTGAACCAATGTATCAGACCGCAAAAATTCTGCATGGACAATCTCGCTCTTATTCTCCAGGGGCTCATGCCCGCGGACTGGGCTGCTACTATAGACCTCAAGGGTGCTTACTTTCACGTGCCTATTCTCCCAGAAGATCGCAAATGGCTGCGTTTCCGTCTGGACGGGCGTACGCATCAGTTCAAAGTTCTTCCCTTCGGTCTATCCACGGCTCCTTGGGTTTTTACACGAGTGGTAAAATCCCTAGGTGCAGTGTTCCACGCAAGAGGGATAAGGTTTTTCATGTACCTAGACAACTGGCTTGTGGTCGCAAACTCTGTTGCATCATCTCAGCATTGTCTTAGACATGATATCACTTGACATCATAGGCGTAGATCCTGGGGGGATGGAGGGGATATATCTCCCCAATATTTGACAAGGGGGGGATGGTCCATTGTATCATCCCCCCAATATTTTGACTATGTATGGGATAAAATGGGGCTTTACACACTTTAAAAGACTGTCACAGAAATAACTTGCACTGTCTTATGCGCATACAAAGATGAAAATTAGCATAATGTATTAATGTTGATAACAAAATTATTTTATCTGGTACCAATCTAAGCTCTTCTTTCCTTAGATGTTAGATATGCTTGCAAAGAGAGCCACATTTCACATTGACGGGTGTGTACGACATCAGTAATGTTATGTCAATTCCAAGAATGTTTAAGGTTATATCGTTTGATGAGGAATTTATTGATTAGGCCTATAATAACAAATTGCATCAATTTATTTTGCAAAAACAAGGTTTCCAGCTTTAGAGGGGGCACATCCCCTGTCCGCACAAGGGCACACATTGGCGCTAACACCAGGCGCATAACAGGGGTCTTGGGTCGGAGTGGGTATTTATTTTCCCGGTTAGTAATTTACCATACCCACCCCACCCCACTCCCCATATAGAAAATAATACGACATAGGGCTTATCTGATTTATAATATAGGCCACACACGTGTGTTTGAAACTAAACATAAGCATTTTCATCATGGTTTTATTTATTACAAACATATTCTTTCACCATCAATACACATTCAGGCCCTTCTTTTAGTTTAAAACGTTCTATCTTAAATTTGTCTTTCTTGAGTTTGGGACTATTATGTGTTTAAATAACTTAAAAGGATAAACCTAAAAAAGCCTTGAAGAATGCGCGCGAGACGCGCAAAATATTTTTGTGTTTTTAATTCTAATTTTGTCGGAATTGATGAAAACTCCCTAAAATGTGCAATTTATAGAGGAAATTGGCCTACCGTAAAAAGAAATGCGCGCAAAGAATTTGAGAACTTTAGGCACTTTCAGAGGATGTTGTCAAAGATTTGTCAAAGATGGATATTTTTCCCTTGTCCCCCAGTGTTTTTAATTCTAATTTCGTTGGAATTGGTCAGAACTCCCTAAAATGTGCAATTCTTAGAGGAAATTGGCCCATGCTTACAAGAAATGCGCGCGAAGCGTGCAAAATTTGAGGTTTTTAGGCACTTTCATTGGATGAAAAGGGCCTTTATAAAGGGGTGGGGAAGATTTTTCGAAGATAGATATTTTCCCCTTGTCCCCCAGTGGTTACGCCATCGGGCAGCATAGATCAAAGGAGTTATGACAGTTTTTGAAGTGGAGAAGGGGTTGCAGGTTGTGAGTCTGGTCATTATGATATCTTCCTTTTTATTCTTGTCTTTATTTTTCTCTTCTCTTTTTCTTTCCTTTTCTTTTCCTCTTCTTTCTCTTTCCCTCCCTCTCCCCTCTTTCATTTCTCTTATTACTCAGCCCGGTACGACGGCTTGGTCAGCCCGGTAAAAACCATCAGGGGAGGGGCAATTTTCCCCCTACCCCCCGCACCTGTTACGACACTGGCTAACACACCAATCATCACCCCCAATGAAAAATATTTTTCTACGCCACTGACGGAAACAGTAGGGTTCATTATCAACCGGGAGAAATCAGTTTTGGTTCCCACACAATTTCCGCTGTTTCTGGGGGTGCACATCGATCTTGTTCGTTCAGTGGCGTTTCCCTCCACGGGTCGGGTCCGCAAGTGTCAGCTAGCAATCACTCAGCTTCTTTCCCTTCCACATTCCCCAGCCGAGTTGTGGCTGCGGATGTTGGGGTTTCTCGCGAGTCTGGTAGACCTAGTTCCTTATTGCCGGCTTTGCATGTGCCCTCTTCAACTGCATCTGCTCGCGTTTTTCTCTCCAGCGTCTCGGGATTTGTCTGCTCAGATTCCCTTGAACGCATTTGTTGCCAGGTGGTGGCCTCAGGAGAACGTGCTTCAGGGCGGGAAGTCTTTCCCCGACCCTCTCCCCGACTTTCGCTTTTCAACCTCTGGGGCTGGGGCGGATGTTCGCTCATGGAGCGCATCGCAGGGGACTGGTCGCTGGAAGAATCCACCAGTCACATAAACGTTCTGGAGCTTTTAGCAGTTCGTCGGTCTCCGGAGGTCTTCGTTGATCGGACAAAGGGGAAAGCTGTGCTAGTTCATTCCAACAGTTAAACCGTGGTCTCCTACATCAACCGTCAGGGCGGCACGCATTCACCAATGCTATGATTCCATACATGGCAGCTCCTGCTGTGTCCGGTCGTGGCCCAGCATATTTTCAACACGTTCTGGCGTCCCAACCTAGATCTGTTTGCGACGAGTTCGAACACTCAGCTTCCGACGTTTTGCTCCCGGTTTCCGGAACCAACAGCATGGGCAGTGGATGCCCTGTCCATCTCTTGGGACGGGTTTTGGGCGTATGCGTTCCCACCCTTGTCGCTTCTTCCGAGGGTGATGGCGCACATCCGACGCCACCATTGCAGAGTTCTCCTGATAGCGCATTGGTGGGCCCGCCAGGGTTGGTTTCCTCTTCTGCTGAGTCTTCTCTTCGAGCTTCCTCGCGTGTTGCAGATTCGTCCGGACCATCTTCAACCGGTCGAGGGTCAGCCTGAACCATTTAAAATCTATGAACTTGTCTGTTTTGCCCTTATCAGGGATAACTTCAGACGTTCAGGCATTCCAGATGGCCCTGCCGCTCTCGCCGCCAAGTCCCGTCGGGAGTCGACTCGCGCGATCTACAACAGTTGCCTTAAGCACTTCTTCCGGTGGTGCACCGATCACGAAGTGGATCCTATATCAGCCTCTCTAGGTCAGGTGTGTCTCTTTCTGCATTATCTGTTTGAATCTGGTCTGCAGGTACGCACTATTGCGGGATACCGGTCGGCGCTGACCGCTATCTTACCGACGTTCCCGGATGGATCGCGTCCGTTGCGCAGCACGGATTCGCATTTGTTTGTGTCTTCAGTTCGGCCCCATGGGCCTGCTTCTGTTGATACCATTGCTCGCTGGGTGGTTTCGGCCATCCAAGCCGCTTATGCGTCGGCTCGCAAGCCTCCGTCTGCCCACATGCACAAGGTTTGCGGCATGGTGGCTTCTTGGGCCCTCTTTCGCGGGGTTCTCCTTGCCAACATTCTTGCAGCGGCATGGTGGAGATCGGAGACTACATTTTCATCTTGCTACTTGCGGGATGTCTTGTCGACCAATGCGTCGGTAGCGGCTGCTGTGTTGAAGCCATCTCTGTAGGTAAGTCTTCTGGTTTCTGATCACGCCCGCCTCCTCTTTACGCTGCTAATCTGGCAATTAATCGGTTTATCCAGGTAAGTATTCACGAAATAGACTACACAAATCAATCGTGATGTTGGTAGTCTGTGAGTAAGATACTTAACTGGATAACCTTCCCTCCCTTCCTACCCTCGCCGTGATCGTGTCGATCTCTAGGGAATAAGGACGTTTGTTAGGGAGACGGTTCTTACGTGGTGCCCTGGGTCGGACTGTTCCATTTTTTTTTCGAAGGGGTGTTCCGTTTGGGAACAATGGCAATTAGTCGGTTATCCAGGTAAGTATCTCACTCATAGACTACCAACATCACGATTGATTTGTGTATATAAATGGGCAAATTAAGGATGATACAGTGGTGGCGCAAGCGCCGATTTTAAGGCTATTTGTTGAATGTTATGATCATGATGCTACTAACCACCTCTAGACGGCTGCTGCGGTAGTCGCAGACCTCACCCTTATGAAATTAAGCAAAATATTCCTGATTGGTGTAGCGGTTATGGTGTTAGGCTAGATATCTAGAGGGTCTGGGTTTCGATTCCCACCCGAACACATGCAAATATTCCTCGCAATTACAGTACTTGGGGAACGTAATGAGTATTTATTGCAGTAATACATCATCTAGGGTAAAACATCACTTCTATGATATTTTCTTGACACAAATTCACATCAAAATATTTATTGATTTAAGTTACAAAAACAATTTTTTTTTTGCAGCCATCAATGAGTGCGACAGCATACCGTGTATGAATGGTGGTATTTGCGTTGATGCTGTCAACGGATTTGGCTGTATCTGCCCCTCGGGGTGGGAAGGAGACCTGTGTAATTTAGGTATGTGGCAGGTTTGTCTAGACAGGGAAAGTTTTGGGTATTTAGGAGAAATTTAGGGATGTTAAAAAATTTACATTATATAATAGCATCATAAATATTGATACTTGACGCTGTTAATTGCATGATAAAAACAGTGACACAATATGGAATAATTAGAATGAATTAGAAAAAAGAAGACATCTTAAAAGCTGTAAAAAGAAAGTCAGATGTTATTTTTTTTTAAAACTATGAATAATTGATAGTTTTAAAAAATGTAATTCTAAAAATTCTACAAATTTATTTATAATTAAAAAGAGAATAGAGTTATATGTAAGGAAGATATAATACAAATGAAGCCTATCATGGTTTTTATCTAGTTTCTCATCTTCCATTCTAGTAATTGGATGCCGTTTGAATTTCACCATACCTGTCAATGGAAAGTTTGAAGTTCACTCTCCAAATTATCCGTCACATTATAATAATGGAGCAAACTGTCGTTGGTTCGTCAACTCTTCCCCCGGACGCACCATTAAAGTTGTATTTATGGACTTCATCACAGAGAATCATTACGATGTTCTTAAGATTGGCGAAGGAATGAACACCATGGATGTAGGTTCAATCCGTTTAACTGCTGATGGTCCGACTAAACCAGAAAATCTATTACTACTGTCCAATCAAATGTGGATGACATTTATTACAGATGGTGAGAAAACAGAGAGAGGCTTCTCAATCGAACTCAGAAATGAAGGCTATACTGGTAAAGCTAGTTCAATCATATACAGTAGTGTAATTATTTATATTGGAAGGGAAAGGAAGTGAGGGGTACTCAAAAATGACTGTTGGATAAAGTTACAGACAGTTCTTATAATAATGATGCCGATGACATTAACAATAATTACTTTATGATGATAATAAGATACAAGATAATTTTTATTTTCCATTATTGTTATTACTATAATTATAGTTATTACAATATTATACTATATTGAACTTGTTATTACTATACTTTATATAGAAGAATTTATCAACATATGTTTCATTTTTGAAATAAGATAAACTTGAACAATGACATGGCAGTGATGATAATGAATATGACATAATAATAATAAGAAACTGTTAAAAGATGACAAAATTTGTTTTTAATATTTTATGTAGAAGTGGATGCATGTGTGAGCAACCCGTGTTTCAATGGTGGCACTTGTCAAGATCAAGGATCTCAAAGTTACACCTGTGACTGCATCGCCCTCTGGCAGGGAACCAATTGTGAAACACCAACAGGTAATCACAATAACAGAATTGTATATATTTCATATATAAGCACATAGATTCTGTGCTATACAAGTTTACTATTACCAATAATATGAATTGCCCTACTATTGTAGATGCGAATAAATGTGCAAGCGACCCGTGTATAAATGGCGCTGAGTGTTTGAATGCCGGAGGTGGTTACCAGTGCACTTGTCTCGCCGGATGGACAGGAACTAACTGCGAATCTGGTAAGGAAAAAGATTAATTAACATGAGTATTAACCATCAATTAATCAATGGATTTATAAGGCGCATAATACAGCTGTCTCTATGACAACAAACATCCTGTGCCCAATATTATCATTATAACTTTTCTACTGTAATCCTAAACAGATTTTCTTTAAGGTGCATTTTATCCAATTGTTAAATAGCATGCCTCTGGATGTTTATCTTTTAACTGGCATTGAAGCTAAACCTGGGTTCCTACTGACACTTCAAACTATTAGAAATGAATATATAAAATGTTCCTTTTTCACCATCTCAACTAAGATGAAGAAAATATTATTTGGTGAATGAATAGGGCAAAAATCACTCCTATGGAATTTCCTAATGCAAAGCAACATCAAACTAGCATTGCAGTACCCGGTGCTGCTTGAAGATCCGATTCAACACTAGTTACCAAGCGGTGGTCTAGTGGTCATTGCATCAGGTTGTGGGTTCAACCCCACTCGAATCAATTGCAAGATTCTTTTCGCAAGCATATTAGGACATACTGAGTATTCAGTACTATACATGTCAGGTAGGGCAAAACATCACCCCAATAGTTAATATATTAAATTCTAATTATTAAAATGTTTGTTTCCTTAGATTTAAATGAGTGTTTAAGTTCACCTTGTGTAAGTGGTGGTGAATGCATTAACCTATTCCAGCATTACATGTGCAAGTGTCCAGAACACTATAGTGGTACAAATTGTGAAACAGGTAATTAGCATAATTAATTAAAAATTAACTAGTAATAATTGGCATGTTTTTATTTTATTGTGAATCAATTATTATTTTTTAGAATTTTATTTTTTTTTTTTTTTATATTTTTATTATTTATTTAGGCACACAATACATGTGCCAGGGATTGTCAATAGCGAATATATCACTGTCCTACTTGTAGGCGACAATCCCTTACACAAGACAAACATACACACACGATGCTTTACACAAACTAAATCTCAATATGAGATTTAGGGAGTGGAGTTGTTTTGGTCGTGAGAAAAAAATCCTGCAACACTGACAGGAATTGAACCCAGGACCCTGGGATTGGAAGGCAAGCATCTTAACCACCAAGCTATTCAACTCCACTCATATAATTTATTATATTATAGTAAATATTTATTTCATGAATTTAGTAGATGGATTATTAATAGGAATTTTATACATGTTATCATATATTGTGTACTGTGCTTCTATTTTAGGTCCGGAAGTGGAGAGCTGTAAGTGCAATGTTTGCCAGAATAGGGGCACATGCACTTACTACCTACATGAGTATTCTTGCACTTGCCCTCCAGGTTATTCAGGACCCTACTGTGAAATTGGTGAGTAAAACTACACCAGAACTAAGAAAAAAATATTAAAAAAAAAAAAAAAATTAAAAGCCACCTTGTGGTTTCAAGTGTACATATCAGTATTAAAGGTCAAGTCAATATTCCATCATACCGTTTATACTATTGCTTACATTTCTATAAACATTTATACTTCAGAGTCATCACCTTAACTGTATTGTAATACATTCAACAGAGGCCCCAGTTTGAGAGAAGGCACTTCCAGAATGTCTGGTTTAATGACCAATCGTATCAAATAAATATATGACTGCGTAATGCCCTGGTGGGCCAAGATGTAACTTTCAAAAAAAATATCTGGGAGATGAGTTAGCTTCCAGGAATGTTTGGTTGCTTGTAAGAGTGCGGGATACAGTGGACCTCAGGGAAGAACAGTGTAACAATACTGGTTGAGTATCCAGAATAAAGAATGATTTCTGTCTATCTATCCTAAGTCTAGTGCAGCCTTAGCATCAAGGCTAGTTTGAGACCTTCCTCACCCAATAAACAAAAAATAACAACCCTATTTTATAATGGAACAGTCCAAACCTGTATCACATTAATGCATAACTGGTCGATACTATTTTGTAATATGGTAAAAACAATTCCTTAATATAAAATAAGTTGATTATTATCTCAAAGGATTAAAGCTGGGGCCTTTGCATTCAGAGTGAATCATTAGTAGATCCAAGTGTTCTTGGATAATGACTTAAAACTGAAGGTTTTACGTTTATGAGTGTACATCCTACAAAGGATCCATAACTGCAGAGTAACAGGTTGTATGGACCAGTACACCAGGGTATCCCCCTGCTCAAAAGATGTACTGTGTTCTTTAAAATGCACATGAGCCAATTGTCTACACTGGGCCTACAGTTTATAGTCCCTATCTGAGAAGACAACCAAAGACGAACGAGTGCCGATATTATTGCTAGTTGTGGAATGTTATGATCATGATGCTACTAATCTAAACTTTTTCTTGGAAAGTGATTAGGTTCTCTATTGGAGTTCCCTGGCCAGCATTTGTGAAATTTTAGTTTCCTTTGTGTGTTTGCTTTTTGCTTGTACTGTATGTTTTTTTGGAATAAAAAAAAATTGATTAAGCGCCTGCTGCAGTAGTCACAGAGCTCATCCATACGCAATTAAGCAAAATAATCCTGATTGTTCTAGTCATTATGGGGCCAGGCTAGTTATCTGGAGGTTGTGGGTTCGATTCCCACCCGAATCACTTGAAAATATTTTTTGCAACTACAGTGTTTGGGGACCGTAATCAGTATTCAGTGCGATAATACATCAGATAGGGTAAAACATTCTATCTTCTATGATATTTTCTTGACACAAACTCATATCGAAATATTTATTGATTTAAGTTACAAAAAAAATAATTAGAATAATTTTTTTTTGCAGCCATCAATGAGTGCGAAAGTATGCCGTGTATGAATGGTGGTATTTGCGTTGATGCTGTCAACGCATTCAGCTGTATCTGCCCCTCTGGGTGGGAAGGAGACCTGTGTAATTTAGGTATGTGGCAGAGCTGTCTAGGATGGGGCACTCAGACTGGCGAAGTCTTGGGTGTTTAAGGGCAGTTTAGGGATGTTAAAAATTGACATTATATAGTAGCATCATAAATACTGATACTTGATGCTGTTAATTACATGATAAAAACAGTGATGCAATTCAAAATTCAATTCAATTCAAAAATATCTTTATTGGCAATCACAGTATACAATGATTGAATTATACAATAAAAAGTCATAAATTTAAAATACATTTAAAGAAAATTAAGGAGGATCAATTAACAATTTGATATTTATTTACATGAAAAAGGATTTTAATATTTATAAAAATATAAAAATATGCAGATTTACACACGCAATAAAATCACATTCAAAACACAAACAAAACACATTAAACATCACAAAAAAGAAAAATCACACACAAAAAAAAAACAAAAAAAAAACAAATATACAAAACAAACACACAAATCATTATCACATAAATCATTATCGCTGAGAAGCATCAAGCAGCTCCGTTAGGAACCATCTACCATTTTTGAAACACCCCATAATTGATAATAAATTTGTTAGTCCTCTCATTTTTAACCATTGGCAAAGTAAATTGATTTTGTCTCCTTAAATTATATTGATGACTAGGGGGTGGTGGAAGGAGATGGTTTAAACGGTGCTCACTCTCCTTGACTTTTTGGAAATATTTGATATGCAATATGGAACAATTAAAGTGAATCAGAAAATAGAAGACAACTTAACAGCTGTAAAAAGATAAGGCAAATGTTATTTTTAATAAAAACTATGAATATAAATTGATAATTTAAAAAATTTAATTCTAAAAATTAATATGTAAGGAAGATATAATACAAATGAAGTCTAGCAATGTTTTTATCTAGTTTCTCATCTTCCATTCTAGTGATTGGATGCCATTTGAATTTCACGATACCTGTCAATGGAACGGTTGAAATTCACTCTCCAAATTATCCGTCAAATTACAATAATCAAGCAAACTGTAGTTGGTTCGTCAACTCTGCCCCAGGACGCACCATTGAAGTTGTATTTATGGATTTCATCACAGAGGATTATTACGATGTTCTCAAGATTGGTGAAGGAATGAACACCATGGATGTAGGTTCAATCCGTTTAACTGCTGATGGTCCAACTAAAGCAGAAAATCTATTACTACTGTCCAATCAAATGTGGATGACATTTATTACAGATGATGAGATAACAGAGAGAGGCTTCTCAATCGAACTCAGAAATGAGGGCTATACTGGTAAGCTAGTTCAATCATATACAATAGTGTAATTATTTATATTGGGAGGGAAAGGAAGTGAGGGGTACTCAAAAATGACTGTTGGATATTAACGTTACAGACAGTTCTTACAATAATAATGATGCTGACGACAATAACAATAATTACTTTATGATTATTACTATAATTTTAATTATTTCAATATTATATTATATTATATTAAACTTATAATTACTTTACTTTATATAGAAGAATTTATCAACATATGTTTTCATTGTGTGAAATAAGGTAGACTTAAAACTTGAACAATGACATGGCAGTGATGATAATGATTATGACATAAGAAACTGTTAAAAGATGACAAAAATTGTTGTTAATATTTTATGTAGAAGTGGATGCATGTGTGAGCAACCCGTGTATCAATGGCGGCACTTGTCAAGATCAAGGATCTCAAAGTTACACCTGTGACTGCACCGCCCTCTGGCGGGGAACAAATTGTGAAACACCAACAGGTAATCACAATAACAGAATTGTATATATATCTATTAAACATTTGTAGCAAGCACAGATTAGGGGAGATTTCCCGTTGAGGAATACACAGTACTGGGTAAAGGTAACTTGATTTCTTGCTTCGAACATGGCATCCATTTATAGAAGTCATATGAAGATAAGCCTATCTTAGAGTTACGCTAGGGTAATTGAGACCAGGATATATCTCCGATTTTAAATTAAAGATTTAACTTTGCTAATTATTCAACAAGTATACAGAGACTAGCCCATAAACGTAAACAATTATATTTAAAAACTTAAATAAAGCTCAAGAATTTAAAAAAAATCTTAACAAATATTTTTATTTGTACTTCACTATAAACATATATATTAATGTAATACATCATGGAAAAAAAATCTTAACAAATATTTTTATTTGTACTTCACTATAAACATATATATTAATGTAATACATCATGGAGCATAAATACCTAAAATTATAAGCAAATATAATAAATTATCGTAGTATAAACATATTAAGCAAATTATTTTTTTCCTTATATATACATATATATATCTGTCTCCAGTTAACATTTGTATACTTCTTCCTTGGTATCTTTGTTGGAGTTTTTGAAATTTTAGGGTCATACCCCTTTTTAGCTCTCAATTATGGCATATTTGTAAAGCTGCATTTTCATTTAGCCATATCGTCAAATAGAATAAAGATAATTAGCTGAAAAATGATATCTAGACTAACTTTTGACTATAGAACAGGAATATAACATAATTTTTGGTATACCCGACCCTGTTACGAAAATGTTGGTTCGTAAAACCCTAAGTTATTTGGTTGCATAATTTTTCTTACATTGGTAGACTCCATTTAAATACCCAAATTATTTATTAAATGGGTCTTATGCAACAAATTATTAATATATAGTTGGAAATGTCTCACCACAAAATTTCCATGTTTTCCACTTATCATTTTAAGGGGTAATCGTAGGTCGAAAGGTCATTCAAGACAAAAAATACACAAAAACACCTTGTTTTCTTGGTGACCTTTGACCCTGTGGGCAAGTACCCTTGTCGTTAAAACTCACACCATGAATTAATTTATATGTGATGATCATATGTTCCAAATGTCAGTTTAGTGTCTTTATATCTTCATTTTTAAAAAGCGATTTGAAAAGGGGTATATTTTTCAATTTGTGACAATATCAGTGCGTAAATGCGTCAACATTAATTTTTGAATAACGATATTATTAAAAAGCAATCTGCCAAATTATTTATTAAATGGGTCTTATGCAACAAATTATTAATATATAGTTGGAAATGTCTCACCACAAAATTTCCGGATTTTTCACTTATCATTTTAAGGGGCAAGTAACCTTGTCGGTAAAACTCACGCCATGAATTAATTTATATGTGATGATCATATGTTCCAAATGTCAGTTTGGTGTCTTTATTTCTTCATTTTTAAAAAGCAATTTTAAAAGGGGTATATTTTTCAATTTGTGACAATATCAGTGCGTAAATGCGTCAACATTAATTTTTGAATAACGATATTATTAAAAAACAATCTGCCTAGAGCCATGAAACTATTCATTCTAGGACAAATTTTTGTACTGATTTCAATTATGCAGTTATGTTAAAGGGATAAATTGTTTAATTATTAAGATATTTTGCCCCAAAAATGTCCCAAGTCCAAGAATTGTGCAGTTAAATTATGTTACTATTGATTTCAAATGAGCCTAATATTATCTGTGTACTGTCTAGACAGCCATGAAACCCTTCCATTCTAGGACAGTTTCTGTGCCGATTTCAGTTTCAGATTTCAGTCAGTAGTCTGTTAAAGGGATGCATTGTTTAATTAGTAAGATATTTTGCCCCAAAAATGCAAGAATTGCACAATAAAATTTTGCGACTATATATTGATGTATTTCCAATGAGCATAACATTAACAGTGTACTGTTCAGAACCATGAAACCTTATATTCTAGTACACATTTGTATGCTAATTTAATTCATGCAGTCTGTTAATGGAGACAGTCTTTAGTTAGTAAGATATTTTGAACCAAAGAATGGCTCAAGTTTAAGAATTACATAGTAACATATATTTTAAATGTGAGCACAATATTATCAGTGTACTACTGCCTAGGGCTGTGAAACCTTTATTTCTAGGAAAACCTTTTGTGCTTATTATTATTACTATAATTATAATTATTACAATATTATATTATTTTATATTGAACTTGTTAAATTACTTTACTTTATACAGTATAGAAGAATTTATCAACATATGTTTTCATTGTGTGAAATAAGATAAACTAGAAACTTGAACAATGACATGGCAGTGATGATAATGATTATGACACGATAATAATAAAATGTTAAAAGATGACAAAAATTGTTGTTAATATTTTATGTAGAAGTGGATGCATGTGTGAGCAACCCGTGTATCAATGGCGGCACTTGTAAAGATCAAGGATCTCAAAGTTACACCTGTGACTGCACCGCCCTCTGGCAGGGAACCAATTGTGAAACACTAACAGGTAATCACAATATCAGAATTGTATATATTTCTATTATACATTTGTAGCAAGCACATAGTAGGGGAGATTTCCTGCTGATAAATACACGGTACTGGGTAAAGGCAACTTGATTTCTTGCTTCGAACAAGGCATCCATTCAAAGAAAATATAGAATACTAAGATAAGCCTATCTGAGAGTGACTCTAGGGTGGTCGAGACCAGGACATTATCTCCGACTTTAAAATAAAGATTGAATTATGCTAATTATACAACAAGTATACAGAGACTAGCCCATAACATAAGCAATTATATTTAAAAACGTAAGTAAACATTATTATTCAAATTTTTTTGTATCATTAAAAAGAAATCTTAACAAATATTTTTATTTGTACTCTACTATAAACATATATATTAATGTAAAACATCATGGAGCATAAATACCTAAAATAATAAGCAAATATAATAAATTATCTTAGTATACAGTAAACATATTAAGCAAACTCTAGCAAATTTTTTTTTCTTTATGTATACATGTATTATTTTCAGATCGTTCCAGTTTAACATATGGAATCTTCTTCCTTGGTATCTTTGTTGGAATTTTTGTATTATTTGCTGGATTAATTGGCTACATGAAGATTAAACAGGTTTGTCATATGCAGTAATATATATAAAAATAATAGTAATGATAATAATAATAATAATATTATATAATACTAATATCATTATTATATTTGTGTTTGTAACATAAAATTTGATAATGTGGACTGAGATTTAATTACAAACCACCATTATTGATATTCCTGTGTCGAAGTCTGCACTACTAAATTTTAAAATGTGTTTTCAGAAAACAATCGTAGACAAGAAAAGTAAGGACAGAAGAAAAGATGTGAGTTTTCTTTTATTATAATTACATTAATTATATATAGAACTGATTTAAACAGATGACTAAAACCATTACATTAGACCATTTCTACTTAACAAAATTATAGGCCTACAAAATCTGTAAAACTGATCTTTGATTTTACCAAATTTCAGACTTCACAAGTTCTATGGAACGTTCATAGTTCCTACGTACTGAAATAGACCAAAATACTATGGAAATTTATCGTTAGATCTAGACCATTAAATATGTCTACACATCGAATAACGTCCAAGCATATGACTTTTCCATCAGAACCTTTGGTTAAATTGTCCCTCGACAATTGACTCAGGCTTGTCAGATTAATGATAAATTATTGTGAAAACCAAGAAAAAAATGACCTATAAATTTTCGTCTTTGTTGTCTTTTTTGGGTTTGTTTCCACAGCTTATGAAACTGTACCTGAAATTTAAGCAAGCCATATTTTGCACTCAAGACAAATTATTAGGTGGTAGGAAAATTGTGTATTTACTACGGATACTTGGACATGAATAGTGAAATGCATTTACTAGTCTGAAATTCGGTAACGTCTTGAAAGTTTAAACACATTGCCTGTAATACCAGTTTATGCAAACGTTTTCACAATGGACTTCTCACTTCCCAAGCATCGCATCTAATCTATTCAGGGAGAAAGGCATTATATTACGGCAATATTCCCAAATGAAAGGGTGCATGATGGCATCTTTGCCACAATATTGCTAACACCGCCTGAAGTCTCACAACATGTCAGCGTAAACATACAATTATACATTTAAAAATATTTCTCCCTTTTTTGATCATTCGAGTCATATCTGACAAGGGTGCTCAATCCTCCTACCACCCGATGTCGCTATGCTGTTGTGCTACATTCTTCTTGGCACTCCCCTTCTCCTCAACATTTTCTTTCATAATTACAATCTTGTTTTAAATGTTAATTGATATTGAATTCTCTTATTTACTATTACAGTATTTGTAATGAATAATTGAAAACAATAATTTATACATTTGTACTAATAATTTTTTTTCGTATTTTAAAACAGGTTTATATGACATATATGACAGACACTGGCAATGACAATCCAGTATATCAAGATCTCCAACATATTAGGCCTAGGGAAACAGATCCAAATCCAGTATATCATGATATTAGGGAAACAGTTGACGATTACATTACGCCTATACGTCAAGACACAAATGAAACAGAAACAGGTTACTGTACGTCTATCGTCTAATGTCATGACAGGAAAATAAAAGAAATTATTTTATCTTTATTTAATCTCAAACTTTACACCACATCAGTATAGGATATGTAGCTTTGCGCTAAAATAGTTTGATAGCTTTCATCACGATAGGTTTCAGAGAGTCCAATTTAGGGGCTCTTTTTCATCCTGGGTACCTGTCTTGTCTGGAGTCCCCCATGGATCAGTGCTTGGACCAACTTGCCGTGCATGATGCCTTATTATTATTATTGCGCTCTGCATTTGCATTGAGCACTATACGTCGCTGATCTTGACAATCATATTTTGTATATATAATATATATATGTATGTATGTATATATATATATATATTTATATATATATATATATATATATATTTATGTATGTATATATTATTGACTCAATTGTTAAATTTCTCTCGAATATGTAACTCTTGCCTTTGTAGTTTGTGACGTCTGTCTTTTTAATGTTTCCAATGTAAATTATAATATTTAATATTGCACCATTTTAATAATGATTTGTAAATTTTAATTGCCAATTTTATATTTTTGTAATTTTATATTCATTCTCTCAATTCAGCACATGCTGCAATAAACTGTTTTGTATGCGAGTTTTTTTTTTGCAATAAATATACCCAGATATATTTTATGTAACATCTTTGTTTTTGATTTATCACAATCATTTTTACCACAATACGCTGACAATACAGTATTATATAGAGTGATTGAAAATACACATGATGTCCAAATTCTCCAGTCAGATCTTCCTTCATACCCATCCATCCATTCTAGAATCATGTTTCTTTATGTATTATTTATTATCAAATGCTTTAATGGCTCTCTTAATCTTGATCATTCTTATTACATTTTTATGACACCAGACATTTAAATGATCTTAAAATTTTTCGCGAATGAACGCTTTTAAATATTCTCCCTTTAATCCCGTCAGTAGACTTTTAATTTATTTCTATTCTTTCTGACGTCAGAAACACTGCTTTGTGCTCACTGAACGAATTCTCATATGTGCTGAAAGATTATCTCAATGATAATGATAATTTTTATTCACCTGACTTATATTATCATCAATTATTCCTTTGACAATATTTTTTTTTTTTTTTTTTTTTTTTTTTTTGGTGGGGGTGGGGTGAAGGGAGCTCTGATCCTGCATCATTACACTTATCACAATCGTCTAATCGTTGATTAAATTATCGGGGCTTTTTTTCTAATATTGGATGAATAATATGTAATTTGTATTCATATAATTCGAATTATTTTTAATTGAAGTTAATGTAATAATAATGTAATTTATTAATGAATGAAAGATTTTTCGCTTTATTGTCTAATGAATTGGTCATAAATTGTATTTTTGTTGAATTTTTTATTGAATGAATGTTTTTGGTCCAATGGAATTTTTATTTAATTGTTTTTATAATTTTTGATAATTAACATTTAGAACATAAAATCCAAAACTGACAAAATCGATCGGGCCATAGATCCACGCGTAAAATCGGTAAAATAGAAGGCATAATTTGAGAACCGAGCGCGGCGACGACGATGTATGCACGCAACATCGGATCTCTCGCGCTGAGCTGGCAAGCCATCTAAGCCGATCCTATTCTTTACTACTGTACAATTGTTTGAATAAAAAATCGTATTCATTGCCTTACAGCATATTAAATGGACAATAAATAAAAACAGGATAGCCATCGCTATAAAGCCGGTACATAGCTAGACATTTTAGGCTCCTTTACGGTTTTATGCCAAACATGAACGAAATATTTTGCTTTTTTTTTCTCGAAGTTTACTTCGATTGTATTACATACTGTAGAGGACATTTTCATAGCCATTTAAAGCCAAAAAAAACCTTTCTTTAAACTGATTTATTTTTTTAAAATTTATTGCAATATAGGCCTACACTTGTTTAGTATTTATTTCCTCTTTACTTTGAATATTTTTTGTTTTGCAAGCCTTTTTTTTTTTTTTTTTGTCTTTTCCCTTTTTGGGCTTGTTTTGTTCTGTGTTCTTGTTTTTGGTGTTTGTTCAGTGTTTTTTTTTTCTGTCTCTTCAGGACAGCCCTACACAAGCTCCGCTTTGTTTTCGCCACTGAAACTTGGCTGGTTATTTATTATATTTGCATTCTTATTTTTGAGAAATAAAATTATTTTTCGTTATGTCAATTCAGTTCAGTGTAAAAGTAAAAATACACTGAAAAACACTGAAGAAAACACGCCCGATCGGTTAACGCTAACCGTTAGCGGTATCCGGATACTGCTAACGGTTAGCAAGCGCTATCGGTTAGCAAGTGAGCGCGTTTGTATCATCAACCAATCACACGTACGCGTTTACAATTTCCAGTTTTTTATTGGCCAGTGATGCGATCATCATATTCTTGGTAACCGGATCGGGATTTTCTCGTATGGACGCACGGCAGTTAGATCCTGCTAATCGTTAGCTGCCGTGTGAGAACATAGCCTGATTTTTTTTTATTCCCTTATACTAATGATTGCCAGCGTGCAATACGTAGTAGCTCTGCTGAAACATGTCTTGTTTGGACCCTCAATGTCATACTGAATTAAATATAGACTTAGCCTATGAAGAAGATACGATCTGTTTTAGAAATTTATTTTATATCATACTGTATTTTTATTGCAACCCTGTTTTTGTTTTGTTTTTTGGCACAATGTTGGGTCTTTAATAAATACAAAAATTTAATTTAAAAAAAAAATGAAAGAGTAATAAGAGTTGAGAAAAATTGGTCCGGCCAAAGCCTGTGTGGTTCCGACTGACTGTCATTACCTAATCAACGTTCACAAATATGCTATGTTCTAACAATGTTTTGTGTTCCGGTGTACCTTTTTTTTTTTTTTTAATTATCTCAATGAAAAATTTGTAATTGTTTTAATAGTCCAGTATATCAAACATGCGTTAAATATTTGAAAGTATATTGGCAATTACAGTATAGAAATTATTTGAATTTCGAGCTTATTTGCTTTTAATGTCTGTGTCAGTTATTTCACTCGCTGCTTTTTATTTTTTATTATTTGAAGACTATTTTAACTATGTAAAACAAAATATGGCTCATTTAAGCATTCTGCAACTAAATATTCACCAGGTAGACATCTAGGTATGCTAACAACGTTAATAATAGTCATACGCATAAATTTAAACCTCCCTATTCATACCGGTAGGTTATATGTATGACTTGAATTCAACTATCTATATTCTCAAGTAGCTATACCGATCTTAGTTACTTTTAACCAAAGTTTTACCAATATTTACTCTTTTATTATGAAAGTAGGCCTATATTTTTGTTGCAATTCCTAATGAGTAGCCATGAGTGTATAGAGTAGTGAAAGACTTTAGCACAGTATAGATCTTTTGAAACTGTGTATACCTATTCAAATCGCACATGTAAATTGTGGGTTACGTACTTTTCTTCTTGGAATTACAGTATTAACAGAACTATTGTTTGAGCGAACCATGAACTCTACGCGGAAGTACAAATTATGTAGAAAATAATTATTATAATTCTCACATCTCATACATTTTCAACTAAACAAAGTTGACGTCACATGCCTAGGTGTTGCAATTACAACAATACAAGACAAGAATAGCCGAAAGTTCCACTGATTAAAATCTCATCCCGACATGATGGCGTGCATCATTTCCATATTGGAGTATGTATTATACTATCTAGACATGAATAGCGTGTCAACGACAATTTAGGCCTATCCAATAACAACCTGTTGTATTTTCATTTCTGAATTGAAGATGTTAGAAAACGCTCCTGGTCTATAACCCAAACGCTTGGATAACCATTGCTCAATAGTGGGCGACAGAATAGGTATTATTTAGATATGAATAGGGACTAGTCACCACTGTCTCTGATACATTTTGAAACCATTTCAGAATCAATCGCGATACCGAAATAATAACTACATAGCATCACTGTTAATATTTCTCCATTTTTTTCACCATCAACTTTTAAATTTGTTCAAGAAGTGACCTTCTCTGAGACACAGGTGACTAAATAACCGGAATATTCTATATGCCAATTTTCAGGAAAATACAGGTATATTATTTTGCTGCTGGCAAGAAGCATGATATAGCAAATCTTAGTGGACAATCCACATCTGTCGGAACAATGGACCAATTACTTAAAATTATTTTCCTTTTCCTGAGTATCGCATCATCGTTGGCACAAGAAGACGGTAAAATTTGGTAGCATAACGCAATAGTATTTCCTTATATAATATTGTGATCGTCCATGTTGACAAGAGATGTTTCATTGATGTATTGATAGGAGTAATAGGTCAAGTAGCACTTGTGGTGGTGGTGGTGGTGGTGTATATCAAACTATTATTCGTAGGTCTTGTTTTTTTAAATATTTTTTGTATTAAGAATACTGCAACATTTATTATCCCTAGTAGGCTTATACTCTTTGGCCCCGGGGTTGTTAACATTGTAGACGCGTTAATGTTATAAATTGTACAGAGAATGATGCTGTGATTGAATACCGGTATAGTACATAACATACATATACATATATATTCATTTGGCACTATAATATGTATCATATGACATATACAGTATATACATTATATAGATATTATATATATACATTATATATTATATATATAATGTCTCTCATATATATATATATATATATTATATATATATATATGAGTTGCTGTGTGTGAATATATTATTCACACACAGCATTATTATTATTTACGGTATCATTTGTTGTATTTGATTAATTAATTGAATAATATTAATTGAATTGATAATGAACGTTGCATTATCTTATTCTAATCCACGATTAGGCTTTAGATTGGATTTATTATTGTTACTGATGGACGTTGCTATATTTAAGCTAATTTCATTGAATATTATAGGCATTTATGTTATTGATTTGACAAAAATGCTTTACATCGCTATTTGTATACCTATATCTAACTTACGTATAATACGACTAAGCGTGTGTTTGTGGGACGCGCGCGTATTATTATTTTTTTAATCAAGCAAAATCATAACGAGTAAAATAATAGGAAGTACGGTATGTCCACAAATATTTACGATATTTAACAATATTATACCATAACCTTCAGTGAAAGAATTTATGACAAAAACAGTAACAAAATAGCAAAAATAATGATATTATCTGCAAACAATACCTACCTCATAGCTTCTGTATAATTGTATAATAATTATGATGGTGATAATAATAATG